ACAAATACGTCAAACATCTTTACTTTTCTAATACATCAAAAAAATGTTTTAGAATTTAATTTGTCGGTGGAAAAAAAGTTAATATTTGAGACTCATTAAGTCGCAGTGATTGTAGCGGCCTAGCGAATATTCACTGCTGAACAGTGTGGCACACTTCATGGCGTATGCACGTAATTATCTCAGTCCTTTAAACTCTTTTTCATTTTTGTAAATTTAGCAAGATATCAATGAAAGGCCATTATCCTTTCAGCAAGATTGGTTGCAGTAAGATTTCGTAATGTCTTATTGTTGCAGTAAATTAGAATAACGGATTTTGAATCAGTTTTTGGAGGCCTTTATTGAATCTGTTTCCGGGGGGTCTTTATTGGATCTATTTTCGGGGGCCTTGATTGGATCTCAAAGTATATATCTCAGAAATGGGTTGTCAGCTTTGTCTCAAATTATCCATAAAGTCCACACAGGGCATACCCAATTCAACTGTAAAACGTTTTCGATCATTAGCCTCGTAGGCGCAGAAAAGTGGGACGTTAAACCCTATTTCAGCACAAGGAATACAAATATTTTCAAGAGTTTCAAGATATCTAAAAGATTTTTGTGGAGACCTCGTTTGTTTAGTATACTGACCATAGCCTCCATTAATTTAATACGATAACAATTAATATATAATATACTTACTATCAAACACTGTTAATTGTGTTATATGTGTTGTATCATTCTTTTGATGGGTTTATTTATAGTTCACAATTAGAGAACAGAGTGCGCCATATATCCAACTGAAAGTATCGATCGAGTGCCTATGCCTACTTGAGTCTTTGCTGGCATAATATTTTGTTGTCATGGTCACCATGATGTCGGATTTCACTATTCAATCTATCTGATAGACGGAATGTTATTCTAATATAAATTTGACAGATTTTATTTATTTCAATAAAGAAATTTATTTTACAGTCCCTTGCATGATTTAATGAAGTCAAACTCAAATCTATAGTTGGAGCATTATTCATTGCCGAACCAATATTGCGTTAGTCCTTTTTCAAGATGGCGTGTTCAATGGTTATTTGGTCTCTTAAAACGTGTACTGAACATCTATTAAATGGTTCAGCTAAGGTTCAGTGATAGTGAAACCCGTCATTGCTGCGTCGCAGGTCCGGTCCTATTTGAAACGTGTATACGTAACGTTCATAAACGTGTAGCAATAATATAATATAAAAAGACAACCTACTTCAAAATAATTTTGTAACTGGAGTTGTTGCCGAGCAATTACCAATTTTGCATGAGTAACTTCTCAAGTTATTGTGCCTGTAAAAGATTTAAGACTACAGTGCTTATAACAGTGTCAAAAATATTATACACCTTTATCGACTGACGTTGGGTGGAACCCCCCCACCCCCCAAGCACCCGACAAGTAAATAATAAGGCAAAGGATGATAGATGATATGAAAATGATCATTTAATTATTCATAAATGACGAATAAAAAATACAATATATACAAAAGATAAACAACATAAAAAATTAATGAATAAACAAACAAACATGCATAATATAGCAAATTTTCAATCACATAATATAAGGATTGAAAAACAGCAAAAGAAATTATTTTCAAAACATTTTAATTAAAGTAACATTGCAACTCTATACAGCAATTGAATGAGACATAGATGGGGGTCATCGAAGATGAAACCGGCCAAATCAAAAAGTTCAATAAATGCAAATGGTAAACCACATAAAAATTTTCGAATAATATGCTAATCAATAAAATAAAATATGGTGGTGGTGGGGAAGAGGCGGTTAAACAAATATCCAAATATGCGTAAATTATTGTGATCGGTAACACAATATAAAGCTGGCACATCCAAAGCGACTTACTAATGACTAATGAGCTTAGGTATACCAGCGAGGGTCGACTAAAGCTTAAGCCCCGCCCACGAGTGATCACGTGTTTACTTATCATTGTTTTAACTATTGAGTTATTTTGTCCGAGCTCTCTCCCTAGATCTTGAGGTCCTGGGCTTCATCCTGTCAAGCCTACAGGAAAATCCGTCACTGTCAACAACTTAAAATAATCATCGTCTTTGAAAAGTAATATCGGTTAAAGGGGGGTAAATCTGATTATGAAGATAAAAACGGAAGTATCAAACTGCGGTTCAAAAAATGTTGGGGTTTTTTTTAGTTTTTTTTTTAAACAATCATAAACAAAAACGGGCTGAGAAACATACAACAATTAATTAACAATCAATCATTTTAACTAATAAGGAAGCTTATGTTTAAATCTGATATCATACAGTAGTGGAATCTACCTTTATTCCTAAACAAACCTAAAATCAACCCATGTCGCTATAAACTCCTGTCGACTCATCTCACAAGAAGAACTAAAGAAAATTCTCTCTCTTCCTCTCTTTATGTAGATGCAGATACATATTATTTACCTGAAAATGTATTAAATCCTAAAGCTCTTACTCCTAGTACCAATGATGTTTCGCACCCTACAGCTCTTGCTCCTATAGTACCAATGATGATTCGCACACACTTTAATCTTCCCCTAGTCGTGAGGGGGGGGGGGGATGTGATTAAGAGGGGCCTAATAAATGAAAAAGCTCGCGGCCTCTCTTCATCTAAATCTGGCACAACATTTCTGTTTGTCCACAATATCTATCGTTCTTTTTTTTAACCACGAACCCTGTTATCATTCCCTTCTTAAGCCAATACAAATAACATTTTCCTTTTTTGCCACACTTCCCGATTCTTCAAATCTTTGTTATAGATCAACCGTAGCAAAGATCCCTGTGCTAAAATTATACGAAAACCAGTTCTGTCATATTTTTAATATTGGTGAATATCGTTGTCTATTTTTAAATAATCTTTTACAACTTAAGCACCTGGATCGTCAATAGAAGGCTTGGTCTCGCTTTAACTCCGTACATTGTATCAAACCCATCACGTGATACCCTGCATATTTCGGCACTAATTTCGATTGGATACTGACCCAGCTGGGGAGCCTATGAGATTCCTCGATCACTGTGAATACCAAGAGTCGCGCTTTCCAGCTAAAATGTCTACCTGTGATAATTGAGTTGCAAAGTTCAAGGTTCGTTTTATGTCAAGCTTTGCGTGGTGGTCGCCATGTTTGATTTGAGTGTGTTTGTGTCACAACCTCTGACTAGACGCTATTGTTCACGTGTTAAAGGGAGATAACGTAGCTATAAGTTCGGGAATTGCGGACCAGCTAGCAAAGTCTAGTTATTGTAAAACTCGCGGTCATTGCTTCAGGAACAAGGTGTCACAGAAAATAATTCTTGTATATTAATGTAGATGGATTTCTCAACAACGAAGTTATTTATTTATTTTCTATGGCCCGTATACGAGCTACGTTTACACGTCAGTAATTTTATTACCAACCCCATCAAACAATTTACCGTTTACCCCTACATCTTCAATTTCTCTGACCCGAATCTATGTCTGTATCAAAAGAGTAATTATCTATACATCATATCACTTGAATCAACATGTATGTATCACTTGAATGAACATGTACATGTATAGTATAAATTTTATTCAGCTAAAGATCGTGTAGATACAAATTTATTGAAAACCACACCACCTACATCATACAATTAAGCCCATTTTTTCAGAATCCAGATACTTTTAAAGTCTTGGTGGGGAGATCAATGTAGGACAAACATGCCTCACGATTGGTTTGGGTAGAACCTAGTAAAATGAAAGCAAAAACGGCGGCACATGTTTTCTTCCTGGGAACTTGTGTCTTTATTTAAAAGACGAATGACTCATTTGATTAACCTCCTGCTTTTATTTTTGATAGATTTATGGACGTTTTAAAGATTTTACCTTGTATCGGTCTTAATACAAAAACATTTAACTAGATTGAGGTATATTTAGTGTCTGAAGGTTTAAAGAAATATCATTTATAATGACATGTAGTTTTTCAAAATATTTATTCGTAGCTTCCATAAACATGAAGTCTTATTGTCTACGTCAAACATTAGCTTCTAATTTCAGCCATTTCCAAGAAACAGGCAATTTACGTCACTTTTATGTATGTAAAAGCGATAACAATTGGTCAATTCCTTACATTCAACCAGGTCATTTGGCAAAAAAACCTTAATGCTAATGTTTTTCAAGTGAGCCTTGTTCGCTACCTCTTTTTTTAGTCTCATCAACAAATAGAATAAATCAGTACGATCATATAGATAACCAAACTATAGTTGAACCATTGCCAAGAAACGGCTAATATAGCGCATGTCACTTTTCAAGGTTATTGCCATTTTCTGAAATTACGACATACAGCATAGCGTGTTGATTCAATGAACTCGACAAAAATTGCCATTTCAAGGTAAAATGGTCGCAACGATCACAGTATGCTGACATATTATCTTATTAAAGGAGAATTGTGCAAGATTTAGATAAAGAGCTGGCAGCCCTCGCTATAAGAGTTAAAAATAGATAATGAAAAGGGAATATGTTGAAAATTTCAGTCAAATTACTTCATTCTAGGCGGAGTTATGGCCGTTGACGACCAGTGTAGTCTCGATTACATATCATTACTACTGTTGTTACGATAATAAACAAAGTTTCGATTATCCATGTGTTAATTAAATCCGTTGAAAATCTAAATCATCGGATAATCTAGAGAGTTGATTATCGGCTTGGCATGTGAATAAATGTCTAATTAAGGGTGTATGTAACATTTGAGGCCAAACGAAAGATCTGCATTAGGCAGATTTAGTTCTTACATAATGCATCTTTAATATCGCGGTATTTATCGCGGTATTGACCCTTTGATGCTTCCATACGTTTGGATAACTGGTCGCTTTGCATAGAAGGTAAAAAAGATAAGAATGTGATGTAAAATAAAGAAAAATTTAACGAAACGAAATTGTAATCTAGTTATTGTCTTTTAATAACAGCACATTTCAGAACTATTCCTGATTATTGCCAGACAATCTCCAGTCGCTCATAACATGAAAGCAATAGAGCACAAATGGATAAGTGTAAAAAGTCGTACTCCGCTCCATTTTCCTCTGTCGTCTTCCAGATTGTGGCCTAACGTAAGTCTGGGGCGGTGGTTAGACAGGTGAGCAGATGGGTATTTTAAACCAACCGACACAAGGCCTACATCGATTATCACATATTAACACCATATTTTACACACGGTTTTATCAACGAAATTGACATGTTTTTTAAGTGATTGCTACTTTTAACAGGAACATAGCACATTTTTGCATACAAATTGCCACAAACTCGGTCTATATTTTGTATGTATGTGAAATTGGCACGAATCCGCCATTGATATGGCACATTTTTGGAATTTCTGCGCAAAGTACAGCCTACATCACAACTTGTTCTATTGGAAGCAGTCTGCAATTTTATTACATTTATAGCATTTTTTGTTAAATCTAATTTAAGAAAATTGTAAATATCTCTAGCATCACCCAAAGGGTTGGTCGCTAGAGATTCATATCGAATAAACTTAACTCTGTCTGGATACAGGTCGTGTAGATCCTCCATTACTTGAATATCTTTCTCCATTAAAGTGCAAAACTCCTTTGATGCACGACGAATTGTTTCCCACTCGAAGTTTTGAAAATTAGTCATCTGGGATGACATGATGCCTCTGGGGTCGCGCACCAAATACACTACATACAAATTAGGATCGTTCTTCATTTGGTTGTATAGGATTTCAGATGGATACCGAATGACCTTTGCTAGGATAACTTTCCGCTGTTCACATAATTTTATATATTTCTCCGCGCAATGTGACATAAGAGTTTGGTTATATTTGGTTATGTTTCTGGCACAATCAAATAATGGAAATGTGTCTTCACGAATTTCTAAAACTTCATTTTGTAAAACACGAAGGGGTAAGTCAGCTAAACTAGAATCGCAGTTTAAAAACGCCTTCATTACTTTCTTCACTTCTTCTTCAAATGTGGTCATATTTGTTTTTGTTCTGTAAATAAAGAAAAAAAAAAAAAAAAAATTGATACATTCACCAATAAAGTATGCATATCGCAACTTAAAGCGGCGATCCCTGGTGATGCAGGAAGGTTTTAACATGAAGCAAAATGCCAAAATTTGAACAAATCGCCTTTTTACCTTGAAGTCCGAAAATTTCAGACACGGATATTGAAACGGTCAGAAATGATCATCAATCTGCTGAGCCATCTGAATTACACTTCTGCAATCCTATGTGTATCAAGACATTACAATTTGTAGAGAGCAGGCCGTAAAGGGGTGACGCTTGCTCGCCCCCTAGCCCCTAACTCTGGCTACGGGCTTGCGTTTCGGGTATCCGGTACGTCACTATTATATTTATAATTACACCATATCTGGCGGAACAGTGATGGGACTAGGGGTTAGACAGTCAACCTATGCATGTCTAATACCATCTTTCTGAAGTAACAACCGCGAGTTTTACAACATCTAGCTTGATAAGATGTGCGTAGTTAAGGCGACAATTGAAGATGGTCTAATAATACAAGCCCGGGGTCGAACCTCCACACGACATAAGTGCAATTGTTAGACCCCGCCAACCAAAGCAACCACCCCGAAGTTCTGGGGATATATGAAAAAATATATATAAGTATATCGTTACCTTTTATATACCTTCTTTTCTGTTACTAGAAAAGGTTTTCCTATGTGTTTTTTCAACGATGTAAAAAGTGGTTCAAATATAAACAAAACATCACTGTTAGCCCGAATAACATCCGCAGTAAACGTACTTCCGCTTCGAGGATATGCGACAAGAATAACCTTCTTTCTATCCTCTTTTGTATACGTTTCGCCAATTTGTGTGCCTACGTTTCCTGTGGGTTGCCATAATTTTGAGCCGGAACCACTGGTCGGTCTATCACTCGATATCAGTTCTACAACAAAAGAAAACTTGGCTGCATTCATAATGCGGACATAAAGCCTCTACTGGTTCGCAAAAATTTGTAACACTATTAAGTTTGCCTGGACAGCGGCTCTACGGCCTACTCTTATATCGAATACAGGGACCTAGGTTTTTTGTCCTATCCGAATGACTATACGTTGTCCCTTCTAAGCCCCCCCCCCCCGTCCTGCACCACTGACAAGAGAGAACCACGTCGGAAAATTCCGATGAACTTCTCGCCCAACCCAGGGGTCGAACACGAGGCCTCCGGGGTAGTGAGCCAACGCCCTACTCACCGAGGGTCGCGGGTTCGCTCCCGGTGTTGGTCGAGAAAGTTCACCAGGATTTTCCGCGTGGTTTCCCTTTGTCAGCGGTGAGTGCGGAGGGCCTGTCAAGGACAGCTGTCTAGTTGTTCGGATGTACACACTGGCGTGCACGTAAAAGATCGCTTGGCAGTTGGAATTCGATATAGCTTAAGAGCTAGGCCGTAGCACCGCTGTCCGGGCAAAATTTTCCTCGTAATACATTGTATGGGGTATGCCCCTCTTCATTAGTCCAGTAGGGCGCTAAACCCCATTTCATTTCATTTCCTACTCACTGAGTCACTATGGCTAACCATGCTACACATCTTCCAAGTGACCATGAGAGACTTAAATAAAGTCCTTGATCTGAAGTTTTGGATTTGGTGTTGAAGTTCGATTTGCAGTTAAAGATGGCTAAGCCGTTTGGATTTTATGAATAAGGTCGTGTGTTATAACACGGGTAGACTACAGGTTTATATTGGACATTGCTAATGGTGTGATCTGGGTCCCTGTGAATACTTTCTTCTGTTTTTATATATATAATTATAATATATATCCAAATAATAATATACAACCGTAAAGCTACACTACTTTGTTACACGGTAAACGATAAAAGGTATGCCGACACGTACTGATTTAAAAGTAATTTTCGCTCATCTGGGAGATCTTCAGAATATATATATAAACAGTTTGGAAATATTTTGTCATAAATCAAAGAAAACAAAGATAATTATTATCTATGCTGAAAATTACAAATAAAAAGAAATGGTACTTGGTGGAAAGAATTAGCTAAACATTTAAAAAAAACATTCCAGTTGACCGTGCGAGCATGAATTACAGTTATACAGTTTCCCTACTAGTGACCTACATGCTTGTATTGTCCAGGTTTAATTGTATAAAATATTGAAGTTACCTGAATGATTGTAGGAATAAATAAACAATATCAGCGCGGATACAGATAACACCAAATAAATAAATTTCTTTACGCTAATACCACGTCGAAAACATATCTGAAAAAAGAGAATATACAATAATCATGGCCGCCTGATGTTATTAGAACCAGGCCCGTAACCAAGCCAACCTCGTTGCTCTGAAGTGGCCCTGATTAGAATCAAAGAACAATAGTATACATGTAACATTTGGCTATGGTCATACAATCACCATGGAAGGGGTTCTTGGGCGATTGTTTTTTGTGTCTTCAAACCATATCCGGTATTAATCGCATAAGTTCATGATGTGTCAAATAATATGGATGAAAGCAGAAATAGAATCCAGTCACACTTCACTAAATTTCTTTGGTGTCACGGTTCAGTTCAAGCCAAATATTTTATTTGAGACGTGTGTCTATTATAAAGCTACCGAAGCTACGTCCCAAATAAAATTCTAAACTATATAGGTCTAAGAGCTAAACTGACAATTACATTTAATTATTATTTTTTTTTTACTTTGGTGTACAGTGTTATGTGATTGGGGCGTCAGAAAGATTTGTAGTTATGGTGTAAACATTCTAATACTTCACAATAAGAATTGTTTTTCACATTCAGTACATATTAATGTGTCCAAAACATGTCCATAAAATGTAGGCTATGTTTACAGAAATACTTACATGTGTGAAGAATACCTTAGATCTCATCTTAAATTAAATACTTCCGAACGACCAAAGTTTGATAAGATTCTGTTCTTTAGCTTACGTGCGTTCACAAAATATCATAAAATATTACTTTACGTATAGTCGCAATGCTAGTTTTACATTCAATATCAGTATCCAGGGCACCCTTTTCATCACACTAGCTAACAATCATTAAACCACGCCCATTTACACGACAATGCCTAAGAAAAGAATGAAATCGCGTTTAACATCCGGTCACGTCAGTACAATAAATCGGTCATTTGTATACGAAAACCTTGTGAACATAGCAGAGGCCATAGTTTTGAACGGATTGTTTTCAAATGTGGTGGGGAGTATTGTGGTCATGAAATGAGGAACCCTGTCGATTTTCAGCTTTCTATGGTGTTCCTTTACACAGTTATCAACCCCCCCCCCTCACCCGCCCAAACACACAACTTTTTTCGAAAACTTTCTGAACGCAATAGAAGCTAGGGGTTTGAACGGATTCTTTTCAAATATGGTATGAAGTATTGCGGTCATGCCAGGGCCAATTCTATAAATATTCACCGTTCCACGACTTTCCGTACCAGAGTTCTGTCCCATTGCCGTAAACTTTGTGAACGCGATAGAGGAGGTAGGGAAGTATCAAAGGACGAACCCTGTCATTAGTCAACATTTCAGATTTACGCTCGTTTCCAGTGTAGGCTATGGACAGATAATCCAGAGCTAGTTTAATCACATTTAAGTTTATCTGAATAATTTTTTTTTTTTTTCAAAATTTATTTTGTTTGTGTCAAGTATGTTGTCTGTTATCTCGTTTTATTATGTATATGCAATATTTTCTTGACCTATAGTATGTCTTTGTTAAGCCATATTAGCACATTGTGACAGTTGTGCGCTATTGGGGTGTGTAATAAAAAAGATAAATAATTTCGAAAATATATATGACCTAATGCTCGATGGAATATTTCTTTAAACAATCCTTCATGTTTTATTATACATATACATATAGAAACTCTCGACATTTTATTTATTTACCAGAAAAAAAATTGTCAACTGGTGGTTCAAATGGAAATCCCGAATTTAAAAGACGCGTGGATCGATTCCAATTTTCTCCTCACAGAGTTATTTCCCCTGGTGCATTGAGTCTGCGCACGATACACATCCGGTAAAGATGGTGAGCAAAAACAATTATTAGAAATGTTGTTTGATAATTTTTGATTAATTTCTATTATAACGTCATTTTTTGGAGACAATTGAAAGATCATTTCATATTTCGAAGACATTTATAACTTGCTATATAGAAAAAACAACAAGAAGACAACAAATACTAGAATAATAGTCATTTGAAAAGTAGAATCAATGTCATGGATTCGTTTCAATTCTGCTTATTCATCCGACAAAATACGAAAGATAAAAAAGAAAAAAAATATTTACTGACCAACAAAAAATTGCATCTCCCTGGACAGCATAGTATTTTACTTACTATCTGTAGACATTTCGTAGTTCCTTTAGCCTATGAACTGTCTCTGATAGTGATAGGACGATGCTTTTTGGAACTGAAGATCCAAGACAAAATTGAAAATTATAAAGCTAGCCTAATTCATTCAGTTTCTGGACACAATATGGCATAATATAATAGCATTGAAAAAATTATATGCTAGCATTGTTAGACCTAATAAGCCTTGAACTATAGGAACTGCTGGCATCAGCTTACACTTGGTAATCTTATTTCTTGGGCATTGCTCTTTAAAAAAGTCAAAGGTTTGGCCAATTTGAGTGTGACTGAACATGAAACTTGGAATGCTATTATATTCTTTAGACAACTGCACTGCACGCCACTTTACAGACTTCAAATTTTGATATATGACACATCGCAATTCCAAGATGGCTGCAATGATGTCATGCTCTGCTTCTGGTTCAGATATTATAATACTCTTGTAATGTAGTTCAGTTGTACCTTTTTGTTATCAAATGAAATGATCATATTTTTTTTCAGGGACAGAAACAATCTGGTGGATCAGGTGGTGGAGGTGAAAAGTCAGATGATAAGGTATAAGCTTACAATTGATAATTGATGTTCTATGCAGAGTTAATAATAAAAAGTAAAAACCTTTAAAGACAAATTTATTGGAGCTTTCAATCAGACATATCCACATTGCCAAATTACTGGTACATCATCACTTATTTATCTTTTCATTGGGTGAATTATGAGTTAAATTGGGTTTGAACACAAAGATGATTTGGGACTTTTCTGGAGGGTAATTATAAACAACATACATGATACCCCCCGCCCCCCCCCAAAAAATTTGGTTTAATCAAGGATTTTTTTGTAGCATTTTTATACGCCCACATTGTCGTCGCCCCCGTCCGTCCGGCGTCCACTCTAAAGGTCAAAGTTAATATCCGATTGACTTTAAATTTATACACAGTGTTTAAGGTCATGAGACGAAGAAGCCTATTGATTTTCAACGATTTTAAATAATTACTGCCAGAGTTATGGCCCTTGATCGAAAAATCTTGTGGACGCTCTAGAGGTTAAAGTTAATATCCGATTGACTTTAAATTTATACACAGTGTTTATGGTCATGAAACGAAGAATCCTATTGATTTTCAGCAATTTCCGATAATTACAGCTAGAGTTATGGCCCTTGATCACTTCGAAAAATCTTGAGGACGCTCTAGAGGTTAAAAGTTAATATCCGATTGACTTTAAATTTATACACCGCGTTTAAGGTCATGAGACGAAGAATCCTATTGATTTTCAGCGAATTCCGATAATTTTTGCAAAAAACCTTGAGGACGCTCTAGAGGCTAAAGTTAATATCCGATTGAATTTAAATTTATACACAGTGTTTAAGGTCTTGAGACGAACAAGTATATTGATTTTCAATGAATCTTTATGACTTGAACAGCTAAATCCACGATGTTAAAAGTTTCGTATACTAAACGTTAGCATGGGGCAGAACTTTATAAAAACCGAACAAATTCTAATGGTTTTCTGATAATTACTTAATGAGTTGTTACTCTTAATCAGATTTTAATGTATTATAAATGTAAAAATATGCGACAACTCTTGTTGACTGCCCGGACGATATAGCTGCTGTGGGCGTATGTTTCGTTGCCTGGCAACCTATCTTCTTTAAAACTAATCCCTTGTAATAATAGAAAATAATGTAACAAAGTTTAACATACATTTGTTTTCTTTGACGCGCAATGCTAGGGAGGAAATTTTGCCTGGACAGCAGCGTTTCTGTATTCTCTTCAAAGGTTCTTTTACATGTACATGCACAATAACAGGTAAGTTCTTATTAATGACAACAGTATGAGTCAGTTATTTATAATTTATTTTACTACAGGATAAGAAGAAGAAATATGAACCTCCAGTACCCACAAGAGTTGGCAAGAAGAAGAAGAAGTTGAAGGGACCTGATGCTGCTACAAAATTGCCATTAGGTAAGCTTACGTGTTTAGTACAAATAATGCAAATAAAGTACATAGAACTTACTACTGAATGTAATTTGATTACCGTACATAAATTAATAGTTCCGTATTCTCATATCATTACATACATGTAGTGGGTCAGATATGTGAAAAAATTGTGCAATTACATCCAATGTTTGAAATTGGACCCAGATATACATTCTGAGATGCTGATCATTTTGTGAAATTTTAGCCACTGCAACATCTGTTGTCATGACTGTTGCATGCAGGATGGTAGTCTGTAAAATAACTTGAGTACTTGAAATTCAGTTAAAGGAGCTAAATCGCTAACATTTGGGACCTAGAAATTGACAAAAGTGGGTCGCAACGCATATAATACTGTAGTATGAATGTATATAAACTGATTTACATTCAATGGTTTCCGTTTTTACTCCAATTTCAAATCAGTTATGTTCGGCGAAATAAGCCAGCAGTCTCAAGTGAGTGCAAATTTCTAGCGCCTGGTTATTCCAGTCTACATATGCCGTTTGATTTGGTGCAATGTGTCTAGCCTCGTCCCTCGAGTCTCTTGATACAACTGGGACTGAAGCGCATTACGGTACATGATTCGTGTACCAATGGTAAAATGTTTATTTTGTCTTAAATATTGGATATCAAAAGCCCATCTTTTTCCGGTAAGATCACAACATGAATGTTGATTTAATTTGACAAATAAATTGTGTTTTCAATGTTGAAGATTTTGGATGATATTGAGTTAAGAGACTTAGCTACTTTAACACGTAATACCACTACATTGTACATGCAACTTTGTAGAAATGGTCATCTGCTGGACAGTGGTTTCTGATACTGAGATAGATTGTATGTCATTCAAGTATATCTAATGTATTAACAGTAACTACATGATTTAATAATATCTGGTTTATATACTGTTTGAATTATATCTTGCAGTTACACCTTACGCAAGATGTCGATTAAAACTTCTCAAGTTAGAAAGAATCAAAGATTATTTATTAATGGAGGAGGAGTTCATCAAGAATCAGGAGAGATTAAAACCTCAAGAAGAGAAACATGAGGTTGGTTTGTTGAGAATATTTTCAGTGCTGTTTTTACTGCATTATGTATGCCATTGTATGAATACTTTAAAGGATCATTTCATAACTTTTTAGCTCTTGAAAAAAATGTTATACTATCCGTGGCCAAATACACATACATTCTTATCTTAAACATGCATTATGCAAGAGCTAAATCTGCCTATTGCAGGTCTTTCTTTAGGCCTGAAATGTTTTCTAAAGTATTAATTAGACATTAATTAACTGATCCAGGCCTTAATCAACTCTCGATGGCATCAGATTTCTCCGATATTAAATAGATTAGAATGGTTCAGCGATACTTTGATTTAATCAAATATGGAGGACCGAGAGTTAGCTTCGATCAACCAGTACGGTGGTTGAAATTATTGCACACGTCTGTCAAACCTTCAAAGGCTAATATCTTCGCTTGCAATAGAGTAATTTGACTGAAATTTTCAAATTATTCATTTTACATCATCTACTTTCGAACTATTATAGAAAGAATGGCTAGTTCTTTATCTAAATCTTACATAATGTATCTTTAAGTAAAATAGTTTATGTGCCAGTAATCAATCCTATATCTAAGAGAAAGTAGTCAAGGTACTGGATTGTCCCAGGTTCAAATCAAGCCTTATCTTGTCAGGTATGGAACATTCGAGACTTAAAAGTGTGCCTAGTCATTAGTAATGGACAAAAAAGATAAGGTCCATTTGTGTACACTTTTATGTATCGATAACAGTTTATAATCAAAGAATATTAAGAAGAATTCTGAATGTCCAAGCAAAATTCACCTCCCTAGCAGTGCAGCGGACATAACCATAGAAATAAAAATTACCATATGTTTGTCTCTCAATGACCAAAGTGTTCTGTTGACGAGATGTTAAACCCCATTTCATTGGCCGTTGGAAATCCAAGAATAGTATGCAGAAGTGCTGATGTCCTGGCAAAATTCTCGTCCTTCGCATTCCTGCACACAAGACCATAGAAATAAAAACTACCTTGTGACCAGGTTTATAATGACTAAAGTATTCTGTTGACAAGATGTTCAACCTCAATGTTTTTATATTAACTAATTGAAATGTTACAGGAAGAAAGAACTAAAGTGGATGAGTTAAGAGGGTCACCTATGTCTGTTGGTAATATGGAGGAGATTATAGATGATAATCATGCTATTGTATCAACATCTGTCGGTAGTGAACATTATGTCAGTATATTATCGTTTGTTGATAAAGATCAACTCGAACCTGGCTGTTCTGTTTTATTAAATCACAAGGTAAAATAATCATAATTAATTTGTAGAGAAACTAAAAATTTGACATTTACTTAGCAATACCACAGGAGTCTACTAATTTCCTAGGTAATCATCATTTGAATTTCAGTGGTTCAAATATCGTAGCACATACCACATTTATCAACTGATAATATACACATTCATATAATGCACAATTAAACATCACAGGAACAAATCCCTATGAATTATAAAAAGAAGTGATTGGCCTGTCTTGTAAATCAGGGAACAAAATAAGCTGTATTGTGGTGCAGTTGCCTTTTTAAATTTTGGTCATTTGTTTCTTGAAAAGTTTATGTAGCCTTAGACCAAACCTATTTGAGTTATAGGGTTTAGGGTTTTTTTTTATTTTGATACAGAAATAGTCACATTTCAAAATTTAAAATTTTAGAACTTAAAGTTTTAGAGAAGAGCAACCAATTGCTTTTTGTTTTTAAATTAATTTTTCCACCCAGAACATGGAAATCATTATTTTAATAGTTGTTCCCAATGAACAAAACTTCAAATTAGTATGGCCTTGTATATCAGCATGTCCAAGCTATTCCTCGAATATATGGCACATGTGTCAAGCAACAAGTAAAACTGAATAGATAAAGTGTAATGACTATTAATATTATGATTATTATAGGTACATGCAGTAGTAGGAGTATTATCTGATGATACCGATCCTATGGTAACTGTGATGAAACTAGAAAAGGCTCCACAAGAAACATATGCTGATATAGGTGGTTTAGATACACAGATTCAAGAAATAAAGGTATTATTTACCCTTCAACATTATATATCACGTTATAATGTCTATTATCATATACAACTGAAGCAAGAAAAGTAATTCATCAACATCCCACACCTCTGGAAGGTAAAGGGATAGCCAATCGCTGTATTATATTGGGAATCAACAACTGATTACTAGTAATGTACAATGTTATATGAGAGTAATACATTGTTTCGCTAACCTGGCGGTGTTCAATCCCAGTGTTGGCCCAGAAAGTTCATCAGGATTTTCCAGTGTGGTGTCCCCTTGTCACTGGTTTAGGACGGTGGACCTTGAAAGGGACAATGTATAGTCGTTATAAGATATATAATAAATAGTATCAGGAATTCTTATTATCTATAGTCATATGTTCTGTAAGTATAAGCTTGTGTATTTACACAGTTCTAAGGTTACCAGTTGAGCATTGTTGACGCAGCAGAAGTTCTTCCGAAAACCAATTTCTGTTTGCATGTGGAGTTCTGAGTTTAATCTTTAAATGAAATGGGGTATAATAATGAAATGATGTGTTATATTTCAGGAATCTGTTGAGTTACCATTAACCCATCCTGAATATTATGAAGAAATGGGAATTAAACCACCAAAAGGTGTTATATTATATGGTCCCCCTGGTACAGGTTAGTATCACAATTATTCCATCGTATATTACAATCTGTCATACCTAGCATACTACTATACTATTCCATCTTACATAACAATCTGTTATAACTAGCATACAAGCGAGAGAGAGAGAAATGGGGTTTAACGTCCACTTGACACAAACTAGGTCATTTCGGGACTAACATATGGTTCAATTTTATTTCAATAATTCGCATGCGCGTAGGAGTCTTTAGCAGTGGGAGGAAACCGGAGGACCCACAGAAAACCCACGAGGTTGGACAGGCGTCCCTACTCCTTGTCACGTACAACCGGGGAATCGAAACCCTGCCAGTTGACTCAATGACAGACCGTATGATACAGCACGCGTGTGCTAACCATTCGCCCATCCAACCCCCCCCATAACTAGCATACAAATATACTATATCATCTTATATAACAATCTGTCATACCTGGCATACTACTATACTATTCCATCTTGCATAACAATTTGTCATACCTAGCATACTAAAATCACTTTATTAACTACAGTAAATAAATATTCATGTGAGTTTAGGAATAGTGCATTTTGTGATGTCATGAAGGTTGACATAGTGTACACATTTCTTGCACTCTTCTATCATTTGTTGTAAGAAGATTGTATTTCCAACATGTAATCAGTATAAACAATCTGTATAAACAAGAAAATCATATTATTAAAATAAGAGTTATAAACATTTCATGTTTTGATGTGATAAAACAATGGATTAACTATCTTATGAAGTGTTATTTTACTTCCATCTTCATTAGCCCACTTGGTGCAGAAAACTAGGATGTAAAACTCCATTTTCGTTATATTACTGAAGGGAAGCAACTCCCCATAGTGGCAGCCTTAGGCTCTTCCTTTTGATCATTGATCAGCAGTCTATTTTTCTTCCATGGTTAATTTATTATATTCGGTATGCACATAATAATTTATGTTATTTTTTATAGGTAAAACATTATTAGCTAAAGCTGTAGCCAATCAAACGTCGGCAACTTTCCTTCGAGTTGTGGGTTCTGAACTTATTCAAAAATATTTGGTAAGTAATTTGTATGCTTTTATTGTTTGTGCATTTCTATTAAATTCTATTGTTAAACCAATTTTAAAGTTGCCAATCCTGATCATGCAATTTTTGGACAATATTGAATATTTCAAGTTAACATACAGATGTGACGGCATCCTTGATGTTGGCGTACCATTATTTCATATAATGGTACAGGCAATGTGCCAATCGTACATTACTTATACTAGTTGAAATATTGGACCCGCATGGAGTATTTCATTGAAATGCACATGCTGGATAGTGTCTGTATTTTAAGTTGTTTAATAGTCTTGTGCAAGACATTGCGTAATATATAGATATAGTCCTCGTGCTAAACCCACTCGTGCAATATCAATATATTACTTAATGTCTCACACTTGACCATTAAACTACACTTAAACTGTACGCAGATTGATCATTTAACATTTAATTAACAAAACAAAATAAAAATATCAACAGTAAATAATCTGCAGGCAAACGTGAGATGATGAACCTTGATAGATCGATCCAATTATATATCATGCCAGCACTACTTTAAATGGCCATTTATATTGGTAAACTTGAGAAAATTTTCTGAAATGACATTTTATTTTAATATTCTGTTAAAGGTAATAAACTAGTTACAAAAATGATATATTTTCTCTAAAAACAGGGAGATGGTCCGAAATTAGTTAGAGAATTATTCCGTGTGGCCGAAGAACATGCTCCATCTATTGTGTTTATTGATGAAATCGATGCTATAGGTACAAAAAGGTAAAAATCTTTATTTCCAGACATTTAAATAGAAAAACTCTAAATATATAGGCATGATAACAATGATGAATTTCTTAATGTAATACAGAAGGAACAGAAGTTCACTCAAAAATTAACATATTGATTAAAGAAAAAAATTAATCACATCCTACTAAATAACATGGATATTACTTCAAACTAGTGCAGTGGACAAGTCCCACACAACAATGGGCGTTGGATGGCTGAATGGTTAGCACGTGCACGCTGTATCATAAGGTCTGTCATTGAGTCAACTGGTGTGCTTTCGATTTCCCAGTTATAAGTGACCATTAGTAGGGAAGCCCGTCCAACCTCGTGGGTTTTCTCTGGGTCCTTCAGTTTCCTCCCACTGCTAAAGACCCCTACGCTTAGTCGAAATATTGAAATAAAATTGAACCATATGTTAGTCCTGACATAAGTTTGTGTGGAGGTTAATCTCTCTCTCTCTAACTCACACATAAATCACTGGTTTATGGCACAGAAACACAGCATTTCGATAAATATTCTCTTATTGATAAGTATTTTCTTAAGTTGTCAAGCACAAATATACATCATATATATAAACTTTGGTCCAGAACAGCAGGAGGTTAAACCCCATTTCATTTCATTTGTGCTTGATAAGGTTAAGAGAATACTTTTCACAATGTTGTGCTTGTGTATAATACAATAGTGGTTTTTGGCCTATATAACTGTGTTATGTTCCCAATCTCTAAATACTATAAAAGAATTGTGGATATATTTTATTTCATTATGTATGTTTTTATATTGTAGATATGATTCTAATTCTGGTGGTGAGAGAGAAATACAGAGAACAATGTTAGAGTTATTAAATCAGCTAGATGGTTTTGATTCTCACGGTGATGTTAAAGTACGAAATTCCATTAATTATCAGTAGTTTTATATTGTTTAATTGTTTCTATCTAACTGTGGGTTCGCTCCCAGTGTTGGGCAAAAAAGTTTATCAAGATTTTACGCCGTGGTTTCCTTTTGCCAGTGCTGCAAAACGGAAAGCCTGACAAAAACTTGTCTAGTCATTCGGATGTTGCACAAAATAAGGTCCCGTGTACACATTGGCATGCATGTAAAGATCCCTTGGCAGTTGGAATTTGATATAATAGTGGAGAATCACGCCGCTGTCAGGTCAAAATTTCTCACATAGCACATGGCGTATGCCCGTCTTCATTAGTCCAGTCAGAGCACACCAGTAGGACGTTAAACTCCTTTTCATTTCATTTCTATCTAGCTATGGAATGTAACATTTGTTTTAAGTCCAGTTTTTGTTAGCATATTGATTTTAGATGTACCTGACAAAATGCCAGGCATTAATAAACTGGTACTTGACATATTTAATTTCATTCATTCCGACGTGCATTAACCCTTTCACTGCGTATACCCGGTATTACCGGGTATTACCGGGTATTATAAAATGTCGGTAAAATGCGCGTACCCGGTATTACCGTGTACTCTGTAAAGCCCTCGCTAAAATTAGTACCGTAACTGCAAGTGCCATCTATTGTTTTTTCTATACACTAGAACATATTTCCACGTGTTTCAAAGCGGCAAACCGTAAAATGGTGGAGTGCATAGTGACAACGTATACGATGCACTCTCGACGAAGTCGTGAATGACGAATGACGTCTTGCTGATCAACACGTGGACAATTTCGAGGCGGGTGATACACATAATTCGTTTCCAGTTACTTGATAATGATAGTAGTCAGGACAGTGATTGGTATTATGGCCGTGCATAATGAACAAGCCCAATGTGAACACGATAGCCCTGTGTCTGCAGTCGATTCTGACAATAATTCTGATGTTGATCATAATGCTGGCCTGCTAGATCGTAAAAGACGTAGGCAATTTCTGAGTCCCGAACGTGTAGATCTATTGATTGACTATATTGATAATGATATGGGACTTGGGGATGAAAGTGAAAGTAAAAACAAGGTATTGCAATCCGCACATGGTCATGGCAGCGGGAGACGTGATGCGCGTGTTCGTGGCGGCATTGCTCATGGCTGCTATTGATTTTTTGTTCATTTTATATATCTTTATCAAAATCCAGTGAAAAAACCAATATCTTTTAAGTATTTCATGGAGAAAAATTTGTTTTCGTGTTAGCTTTAGTGAGAAATGAGAAATCCAAAATGGCCGCCATGACGTCAAGTGACTACATTATTATGCAAATTTCCAAAATTCTATTTTATCATCTTAGCCCAACCTCATGCCCATCCCAACAGACAAAAAGATTTTTCATAAAAGCTTCCATAAGTACTGCTTGGCATTCAGTTCCAACCTCCCTTTTTTCCTCAAAAAGGAGTCTAGCACAGGCAGTGGATTTACGTCTAGCATTGAAAGGGTTAAAAAGATTGAAAATGCAGACATAACGACGTACACAAGTGATTATGTCTGACGAAGTCTGAATTTATGCTTTACAATGTCTGCAACAGGTGCATTATTTGCAGGCTTGGTTGTAAGTTAAAGCTAATATTAATATATAAATTTATGTGTCTCAGCCATTCCTTATTAAAAATTCTGTTGAACAAAAAAACAAAATGTGTAGTCTGAGTTGAACGGAAAACTTTTATATTGATATTTTTAAAATTTCATTAATTGGATTTTAAGCAAAAATTATTGAATTTAATATTGTTCAAAAATGTAATGAATTATTGTTTTTATTTAATAGGTGATCATGGCAACTAATCGTATAGAAACATTAGATCCAGCTTTAATTCGACCAGGTAGAATTGATCGTAAAATAGAATTTCCATTACCTGATGAAAAGACAAAACGTAGAATTTTAACTATACATACTAGTAGAATGACTTTAGCTGATGATGTAAACATAGATGATTATGTCATGTCTAAAGATGATTTATCCGGTGCTGATATCAAGGTAAGTGATAGAGAGATATACAAATATTTTCCTTAGGCCACACTAAGTTGAATTTCAGATCTAAAGGAACACCCATTAATTTTACTTCCAATTACTTCAGGCAAAAAACTAATTTAACAACCAAAAGCACTTAGTTCCAAATATTTAATTTTTGAAATTTTGGCAAAACATCGCAAACAAGAATATTTATTGATCAAGACCCCCAAGATCTAAAAAAATGAATTACCTTGGCCTTATATCTAAATTATAATAACATCAAGCGTGCAAAAAATGTTTTGACAAAAGATAAAAGCCAATCAAATTTATGCAAACAAAAATGGAGTTATCCCCCTTATATTGGTTAGTTCGCTTGCAGGATTATATTTAAAGTAACAAGTGTTTTATAAAAGATATATTATGGGAAATAAGATAAAGAGCTGGCAGTTCTCACTATAATATACTATTCAAAAAAAGTAGGGGATATTTGATTTTTAAGTGTTATTAAAGTCACCTAATGAAACTGACGAAGAAACAAATGACAAAATGAAATGAAGTTCACATTCATCGATTTATTCCAAATGATCGTTAGACTAAGTAAGGCACAGACTGACCATTATAAGGGTAAAATGATACCCGGGGTCAAACAGCAAAGTTACCACAGCATCACAACCAAGTCAGTAATGGGTAAATCCTCCTCTGTTTGCCAAACAAGCATTGATCCGACGTGGCATACTCCTAATGAGACGTCTATGGTCATTTTGGTCCAGATTGTCCCATTCCTGTTGCAACGCAGCAGCAAGTTCTTGGACATTGGCAGGACGTTGTTGACGTTGACGTAACCTCTGTCCAAGCATGTCCCAGACATGCTCGATGGGGGAGAGGTCGGGACTCAGTGCTGGCCAAGGTAATGTCGTGATGTTCTGTTGTTGGAGGTAACCTGTAACGATCCTGGCCCTGTGACATCTTGCGTTGTCATCCTGGAAGATGAAACGGCGGCCATGACGTCGTGCGAACGGCACAACATGGACTGCCAAGATGTTGTCCCGGTAGTACTGGCCTGTAACACGCCCTGCAACAACATGTAAAGCCGTTCTTCCAGCAACAGTGATGCCTCCCCACACCATAACAGAACCACCCCCAAATCGATCATGTCTGATGACGTTAACGTCTTGGAAGCGCTCGTTTCGACGACGCCACACCCTCCTACGTCTGTCAAAAAAATCAACAGTGAACCTTGACTCATCTGAAAACATCACATTGCTCCAGCGTCGATTATCCAAGTGTTGACGATCCCTACACCAACGACGTCTTGCCTGAATGTGATGATCTCTCAAACAAGGGATCAGGCGAGGACGTCGGGCGCGAGGGTGACCCCTATGCAGTCGATTCCGAATCGTCTGGCCACTCACTCTCACACCAGTGTCTGTTTGAAGACGAGCGCTGATCTGATTTGCTGTGATGACACGATTTCTCAAGGCCAAGGTACGGATAAATCGATCCTGGGCTTGAGTTGTCGCCCTTGGTCGACCTGAGCGTGGTCTGTCCTGTACAGATTGTGTATCACGGTATCTGGACCATAGCCTGCTTATGACAGACTGAGAAACATTCATCGTCCGCGCCACAACCGCCTGTGTTATGCCGATCTGTAGCATGCCAAGGGCACGTAACCTTTCATTTTGGGTAAGCCGACGCATATCAAAATTTGTTTTCTGGTCACTAAAACAATTAAACTGATGTTTCCACCCAGGAATTCAATGCCACAATGACTGTAACATTCAAAGTCAGAGTCGTGCAAATCTTGGGTTGGACCCCCATGATGATCCCAAGCATCACCTGCATTCCATGCGGTAGCTATTGGAGCGTTTGGGCGTCACATGTAACTGGAAATGTTTCTTCTGTTAGGTTTGATAGTGACTTTTTTCGTAGTCATTTGCATATTTTAGTATTATGCCCCCAAAATCAAATATCCCCTACTTTTTTTGAATAGTATAGTTGAGCAGCAAATCTTATTCTAATCCAGTAACTATCGCAGGCTAGTGATGACATCGAGAGTTGATTATGCCTGGATTTAATTAATGTCTAATTAATAATTTAGATAACATTTCAGGCCTAAAGAAAGACCTGAAATAGGCAGATTTAGCTCTTGCATAATGTATGTTTAATTTATAAAAGAAAAAGAAGTTATGTTCCGTAATTGCCTAGACTAAAAATATACTGTATTATAACCATCTTCAGCTTGCTTCAAACTCCTGACTTTCTCAAATACAGTGTTTAAAAATTCCCATTTCTAAAATTAGTTGGCATCCATAATTGTTTTTGTTGAAATATTACACATCTTAAATTGTTAGAACTACTAAAGTACAGTATATATATCTGATCATTATGGTTAAAAGCTCATTACTGATGGCAAATTATTGTTTCCTTAAAAATCCGATAAATTGAATAACACTACACTGTTCTGGGCAGAGTTGTGTGAGAAACATACAATTTATATATATATTATAACACTTGATGACAATTTATTGTTATTTTAAAAGCAGATAAATTAAATAACACTACATGTACTTTGTTCTTGGTGCCATAGTGTAAGGATCATAGAATTTATATATTATAACGATTCCTATCTGTAAGCTATATGTACAGAATGTGAATTGTTAGCTTTAAGATATATTATAACACAATATATAATTTCTATTTATAGGCTTGCTTTAAGATATATTATAACATTCTACATAATTTCTATTTATAGGCTATATGTACGGAAGGTGGTTTGTTAGCTTTAAGAGAAAGAAGAATGAAGATAACAAATGAAGATTTTAAGAAAGCTAAAGAGAATGTATTATATAGAAAGAATGAAGGAACACCAGAAGGGCTATATCTCTAGTTTAATATCATATTGTGTCATGTTTTCTCATCATTAAAATATAATTATTTATCTTTGTTTTTTATGTCTCTTACCCAACAAATATATCTTGTACCGATCTTATAACTCATGTACGAGCTTTTACCGGTCTTATAATAAGGGTGTCAGCTTTTACTGGTTTTATTTCAAGGGCGTCAACTTTTAATGGGTTTATAACAAGGGTATCCACTTTACTGGTCTCATAATCAGCGTGGCTCAGTTTTACCAGTTTTAAAACAAGGATGTCAGCTTTTAATGGTCTTATAACTAGAGTGTGAACTTCAATGGTCTTATACCAAAGGGGTCAGCATATGCAGGTCTTGCATCTAAATAAAGTGTCGGCTTTTACTGGTCTCATAATAAGGTTGTCGACTTTTACTGGTTACAAGGGTATCCACTTGACCGGTTTTATAAGTAGGGTATCAAATTTAATGGTCTTATAACTAGACAATCTGTTTCACAGAGTATTATTCAAATCTTCTAATATCTCTGTAAAAGATGACCACCTTCAACAAATGACGTCATATCACGTGGCATCATACATTGGCTCAATGACGCGTGCATTGTTTACATAAAGACGTTACAGATTCGAGCAGAATGGCCCCTTTTACTCATTTTAATACCTATTTACACTAAAATAGGAAATAATTTTTACCTACAAATACTTCAAACGTCTTTATTTATTTTTCTAATACATAAAAATTTTTTTAGAATTTAATTTGTCGGAGAAAAAAGTTAATATTTGTGACTCATTAAGTCGCATCGATGTCATCCTTATCAGTGATTGTCGCGGCCTAGCGAATATTCACTGCGGATCAGTGTGATAACTAGAGTGTTATAGAGTGGTTTTATAACAAAGGTGTCAGTACATATATATACAGGTCTTGCAACAAATGTGTCAGCTATGAGCTGTCTCATATTAACAAGGATGTTAGCATGTGCCAGCTCCTATAATCGGAACAGACAACAAATTACTAGCAACTACATACCTAAAGTTCATTTCAATCACAGATCCAGCCAATTCCACCTTTAATGGGGTTTAACATCCACTCAACACAAACTAATTTGCTTGTGCATATATAGGGGCCTTTAGCTGTAGTAGTATCCTTGGAGAAAACCCATGTGGTTGAACAGGCGACCCTAGTCCTTGTCACGTATAAGTGGGAATCGAAACCATGTCACTTTACTCAATAACACACCCTAGGATCTAAACCATTCAGCCACCCAAAGCTTCTAGTTGCCAGGCAGTGAAACGTGGGAAAAGAAAGGCATGAGGTATAATTTCTTATCCACACAATACTTCAGTCATGTTGAGACCAATATTTAACTTTTATTTCTATTGTAATTTTACAATGCATGTAAAATTTTGCCTTGACAGTGGCATTTCTGCCAAATCTTCAAGTTGAACTGTCAAGGGATCTTTTAGGTGCACTACCAATTTGTCTATGAAACCATTGTTTTTGACACCATCCGAACGACTGGACACATGTTATTTCCCTTGTCAGAAAGCCAGACAAATCAAATGTGAATTAAACTGGGCCTGTCAGCAGCATATCTGCAATCTGGGTTTTCATTATCAACATGTAAGTAAATGATACATAGCAAGTCCTCATTTATTTCAAGGTATGGCCACATAACCTTTTACTAATTGCATGCCTATGCCCCTTTGCTTAGAAAACGTCTGACTATCCCTAGCCATTTTTTGGAGCAGGACGTTAAACCCCAGTTCATTTAATTTCCCTGTTATTTTCATCTTTTTTTTTTCACGGCTGTGGAAAACAAAATCGGTTACAACTCTCTGAACACAGGCTTTTTCTAAAGTTTTCACAGTGAACGGATTGTCATCCCATATTAAACAAATCAACTCATAGTAGACATAGAATCCCTTTTTTTTTTATCAAAATCACATAGATACATCGCGTAAGTTAAAAATATTTGTAATAAACCTAGTTCAAGGGCCTCAAAAGCATACAACTGATTGTTGTATTTCTTTATTGGCCGAGAACTCCTTAAAAATGCCGAGACCCTAACTAAGCCGCAAAGGTATGTCAAATTGTAATTAATATCCTGAAACAATGACGTAGGTATCACAAGCCCCCCAGACAACAATAATGGACGACTGATTTGTCATAAACAATAATACAACCGATAATAATGTCTCCCGGTACTACCCCGGTAATATAAACAAACAAGACTCTCCCGTCATTACCTGTCACACATCGACATAACAAGGACACGTGTTTGGCTAATTATATCGCTGCTTGGTTTCGCGCTCTAATCCCGATCAATGATTGGCTTACTGAGCCGTAACACACAGGCACGTTGGACCAACGAGGCATCGATCTCTACAGTGCTAGACACAACAAAATGAGATAAGCGCGAAGTAAGACGTAACTTTAACTGTGTTCTGAACAGAAATACCAAAGCAAACTGAACTGCTTAATTTTATCTATACATTAGATTTATTTATTCATAAATTTCCAAGATGCCAAGCAATAGTGATAGTGTGAAAGTGGCTGTGCGAGTTCGACCGTTTAACCAGGTAATTTGGGGTTTATTTTTTATCTATCAAGACAGGCATGTATTTTTCAATTGTAAATAATACATGGACGTGAGTTCTGTTAAGAAGACTGATGAATACGGACAAGAAATTTAACGGTCAATATATATACCAGAACGGCAATACTATTTACTTCGTGTGGGTATAATTAAATGAAATATTTATCAGATAGACATAGAGATGACTTAAATTCCAAGGTAACTGAACAAAATCGATCCTCGGCCCGTGGATTGATTTCTTGGGTTTTTGGTTTTGTTTGTGTATCAACTTTTCATTTCATTTAGTTTATAAATTAATTATAATTTTAAAACTTCCTTTAGGGAACCTTTGTGGTATTTTATTTGTAGTTTTTATTTGATATTCTTAAAACTTCCATTTAAAAACTATTTTTTTTTTGATTATAATTATTTTAGTTTTATTTGTTCTTGATAGAATCACAAATTTTAAATGTACATGAATCACAAAATGTCTTGAATACAAATCTTTTATAAAATCTATTTATAAAATAAGAATGAATTTAATTTTGATCTGTGTCAAACTTTTGTCAAAATAGGTTTGTGCAGTGTAACATTACATGTACACACCCATATATAGGGGTAGGGGAGCACTCTTAGTTGGGGGGGGGGGCTGAGGTTATTTTGCCCAAAATTTTTATTTGTCACTGGAATTTTCAAAATGAATCACTCATTAACTAAAACAAGTTTTTCACAAAGCTGTGATGGATGGATGTTATTTTTAATTAAATACACAATTACACAAAAATATAAATTTTCAATATTTTAAGAAAAAACTAAAAACAACTTATTGTTCCCCTTTCAAAAACAATTTATTTTTCCCCTTTCTCGGATGATTGTGCCCGAAAAACGGAAATACATAGTCCGAAAAATGGACGGTTCACCTAATCTGCACATGTACAGATAGTTGTTATCTTAAAGGAGGAAGGAGGTGGGGTTGGGTGTCACAAACAAAGTTTTTTGAAATGAAGATATTTTTTATGTATATAGAAACATAGAAATGTTAAACGGTTATCATTATATAGATTGCTTTATCTCATATTTTTACAAGAATTGTTTAACAGCCAGAGTGAGCCCTCAACTCAACTGAACCATTGAAAGTATTCTGATTAGGGCTTATTCTAAAGTCATAAAAACTATTAACAAACTGCCATTGTCTAATTATTATCTAACAAAACTAAATAGGCTTAATTACAAATCTGATCAGATTCATAAAGCCTTGATTAATTAATCTGATCTTTATATCTCAGTCTTTTGAAAAAAGATCACAATTGTTGATAGCGCATTAAAATGGCGTCAGCATAACTGGATTATCCTTGTGTGGAGGGCCCTCGACAAGTTAAATAGATTTGATTTGGTGCATGCATTCTGAGGTACAGGTACATGTATATTTACACAAGTTAAATAGAAAATAATGGATTGCCTGACAAGGACAGCTGTCTAGTCATATGGATGGGACAAAAAAAAAACGCGGTCCTCCTGTATACATTGGCATGCTCATTAAAAATCCCTTGGTAGTTGGAACTTTATATAAGAGTAGGCCTTAGTGCTGCTGCCCAGGCAAAATTTCCCTCATAGCACACTGTATGGCGTATGCCCAACTTCATTATCCCAGACGGAGCGGAACAGTAGGACGTTAAACCCCATTTCATTTCATTTTAAAGAAAAAATAAGTATTGAACATTTGTCACACTTTTGTCCACCCCTGCATATGGTATTATGGAGTGCAGGTATTTACATAATCCCCCCCCCCCCCCGAACCCCCCTACTAACGATAATGGCCATAGGATTTTACATATACCCCCCACCCAAAGTGGTTAATTTATGAGTTATAAACATAGGCGTAAACACCAATTTTACTTTTCTTTTAATTGAATACCTCAAATTTTCGGGCATCGATTATTTTTTGTGAATGCAGCTGCAACAGTCTGATTGAATGATTGGAATTCGGGTCTGCATTGAGTGGGATTTCGGTTACAAAACCATTGTACAACTTTGGAGTTGCTTATCTCACAGGCAAGGCAAGAATAGCAGAAAACGCATTTGTGGCAGTTATATTTTCAAAATGTTCTCCAATAGAGCGAGGGACCTATATCCCGCGACAATTGGTTGTTTGGTTGGGATTCGGGTCAGCCAACTATATTGGACCACATTGAAGTTACTGTATTCAAGGGCTGGAGTAGCAGGAAAATGCGTTTGCGGCAGTTAAATTTTCAAAATTTTCTCCCGATAGTCCCGTTTCCGTGAACTGTAAACGATTGATTGGTTGATTGGTTTATTAGACCACTTTGAAGTTGCTGTATTCACGGTTCACGGGCTACAAAAGCAGGAAAACGCGTTTGCGGGCGACAAATCTTCCCAATTTTTTTTTGTGGAGTGCGGGGGGGGAGCTAACCCAAATTTTTTCAGGCATTTTGAGTTCTGCCCCCCCCCCCCTTAACAGTCATCCAGCCCGTACA